CTCAGCACACTTGGGACCTGACCGGTCCTGAACAAGGGAATTTGCTGGATCAGGGAGGTCCCTTGCCACCAGCTTCCCAGCCTGCCACCCCTCCCTGATGTTGGCTCCTGGCCCCATTGCATCCAGGGTCCAGGTGTTCCCGCTGGGCTTGGGTTCTGCCACCTTCTTCCAGCCCAGTCCGGACTCCCTGGGGCTAGGGCCCCTTCGCTGCTGCCGGTCCTACTGCCCGCAGAGCTAGAGCTCCCCAGCCACCACAGGGCCTACTAATGCCAGGGCTGGAGCTCTCCAGCTATGCCTTTGGCCACCCTTCTGCTGAGTTCCTGGCTGTGCCACTGTCCCCCCTTCTACAGGGTTCCTGGCTGCATTGCTGGCTCCCCACTGCCAGGCAGGCCCCCAGACCTCCCTGCCCTGGACATTCTGGTGCAGGAACATCTGTGGTCTATGCAATGTTGCCAGACCAGAGAGTCCCAGTTTAGGGAGCCAGCATGACCTGTAGCTCTTAATTACTTGAATTCAGAGGACTGGTATGTTTGAAATAAAAGAGTTGCAAATGACAAAACTACTGGGGCCTTTCCTGCATGAAAATATGGGATAAAGGGAAACTTCTACCTAACTCCCAAGGAAAAGAACTAACAAATGCAGATAGTTCGGGCATATGATTTGCAAGAGACTGGAGGGAATAATAGGACACTGCCCTAGTTTTAATCACAGCGTGAATTATTACTGTTATACTAAGCCGGGAGATGAAGGAACTGTCAGTGGTGTTCTGAGGTCACTTGGAGGGAGCGGGGGAAATTAGACAGGTACAATCTGCTGCTGCTGCTGCTGCTGACATTTAATTACTCTCCCTGCTGAGAAGTAAGAAGTTCAGAATGCGGAACGTTAGGCGTCTGTCACTAGCAGCGGCGCTTCGGCTTCCCACGGGTGGAACATTAACAGAAAAAGCAGCGAGAAGGAGTGATGATTGAAACCAGCCTTCTTTTCAATTGAAGGCAGAACGGCTTTGGGTGGTTTTTTTTTTTAATAAGACAAAGGGGGGAAAAAAGCCAATAAAGTCACCGGGAACATTTATAGTGATATTTTGGGGCTTTGCTGGAGCGTTAGACATCAGTCTTTTCTATAGCTTTTGATATAGCCACGTTTTTACACAAAATAATTAAACAATGTACGTGAATGTATGATAATGGAACGTTACCAAAACTGGGGCTAACGTGTCGATGTCTGAGCAATCTACTTAGCACTCCATGGATGCAGGGAAGGGATGGCTGCGCTGTATCAGCATCATTTTCAGAACACACTTAGGTGGTGAGTGTCTGTGAAAATCTGACTAGTAATCTGCCTAGAGCCCTAGGTTCAAAGCCCATTGGTCAGACTAAATTGCTCATTCTCCTGAATTCCAGGCAGTGCTAGTGCTTGGGGGCTTTCAGTTGCAACTGAGTTCCCATCTGCTCAGCATGGGGTACTAATATTTCATAACTTTTTTTGTAAGTAGTAAAGAATAAGCCAAGCTCTTCTCTCCCACCCCAGTCCCATATGGCTCTGCCCTGAAAGGATTTGTCTACACTAGGGAACTACATTGAAGTTAACTGCCTTAGGGTGCACCTCAACCAGATGCATCAATCTAGATGTAATCTACAGCAGTGGATCTCAACTGGGGTTATATGTAATCCTCTGGATATCAGGAGGGATATCAACTCATCTTGATTTTTGCCTGGTTTTACATCAGGTTACAAAAAATCATTAGCAAAGCCAGTGTAAAGTAAAACTTCATACAATGATTTGTTTATAGTGATCTATCTATCTATCTATCTATCTATCTATCTATCTATCTATCTATCTATCTATCTATCTATCATGTCTGTCTGCAAGTCCATTTGTTCAATAACTCCTACTAAATGGTAAGAGTCAGGGCCACCAGATTTGTTACACAGCTTCCTCTTAACATAACTTAAAGAGAAGCCAAGGTTTGGTTGTGCTAGGACAACTGGAAGCCCTCAGAAAAGGACTGTTTTCCATAACATGTGATGGGAGGAGCTGCTGTTCAGAGGCACATGATATGAGAGTGTCCACTGGGGGCAGTGAGCCTGCAGGGGAGAGCTATCCAGCAGAGTGTCCACTGGGGGAAGCCATACCACCAAGAGAGTGGCCAGTAGGGCTGTGGCTCTGCCACCTTGTCTGCCAGCACACTAAGTACTCCCTCGTGCCTCCTAGCCACTGCA